CCCTGTGTTCTGCTTAGCTTAGCTTGTTCTAAGTAGGTGCTTTAGACCACCAAGCCATCTCACCAGCCCTGCAATAAATTTTTTAAAAATTAAACAGTCACTATATTGTTATCATACCTTCTAAATTTTATAAAAACTGAACAGTATTCTGTTTTTGTTTTTTGTTTTTTTGAGGAACCGGGGATTGAACTCAGGCAGTATTTTGTAATGATCTCAATATACCCATTGTGAGCCTGGAAATAGAATTGGGGTTGGACTTGGTGTGGAGAAAAAAGGGGTGGGTTACAGGAGAGCCCCAGGAAACATGGGGTGAGGGTTTCCCAGGTGTGTGCATACCTCACAGGTATACACACATGTCAAAGATAATAAAAATTTCACTTCATTTATGTGCAATTTGTACATTGGGTGTCACTTGTACCCCAACCAACTTACTTGTCCTCCTCTCCAAAGGCTGGGTCGGAGAGGTGGCAAGGAGGGCAGGCATGGCCAGGGTGGCTGTGGAGCAGACCTCTGAGTGGCCAGGCTACTTGGTGCCCGGGGCTCTCCACTGAGGGCTCACCAGAGCCTGGGAGCACTCAAACTGCAAGAGTGTGTTCTAGCTTCCTCTGCTGGGACCAAGTGGCAGCTCCCTTCCAAGCAAGCAATTTGGGGACTTCTCCTCCAAGGCACCAGCGTAAGGTCGGGGGAAAAAACAAAAACAAAAACAAAAACAAACTTTGCTCAGTCTATCTATCTATCTATCTATCTATCTATCTATCTATCTATCTATCTATTTTTTTTCCAGAACCAGGGATTGAACTCAGGACCTTGCGCTTGCCAGGGAAGTGCTTATTCCACTGAGCCATCTTCCTGGCTCCAATTGCTCACAATATTTAATAGGAAAAACAAAAAATATTTAATAGGATGGCCTGGCATGTAGCTTAGTGGCTCAAGTGCCTAACTGGAAAGCACAAGGTCATAAGTTCAATTCCTGGTACCTAAATAAATAAGTAAAACAATATTTAATAGGACAGTGCACTCACAAGGGGAAGTCAAGTCATGCTTCATACCAGAAGGCTGAGGGCGGGAGGTCTCCAGGGACTGCATGCATTTCCTGATTCAACTTGGATTTATGCTTTCAAAACAGGATGTGATGACACCTGATGGGTTAAAACAAAATTTCAGGGCCGGGGCGATGGCTTAGTGGAATAAGCGCTTCCCTGGCAAGCTCAAGGGCCTGAGTTCAATCCCTCGTTCTGCCAAAAAAAAAAAAAAAAAAAAAAAAATTGCAGGTATCCAGCTGTGGGGGTACACACCTGTAATCCTGGCACTTAGGGAGCTGAGGCAGGACCTTGTTTCATAAGAACAAAACTAATGCATGTAAAATATTCTCCAAAATATTACCCTTTCCTGGATCTTTAGGTAAGAATATGAAAGCCCAACCAGCCTTGAGCAGGATGAGCCGAGAGGAATTGGAGGACAGTCTCTTTCGACTTCGTGAAGAGTACATGACGGTGAAAGACCTTTTTTGGAAGCAACAGGAGGAGATTAAAAGGTACCCAGTGCTCTCCTAAATTCTGAACCCTGATCGGCATGGTGGTACACACCTGGGACACTCAAACTCTGGCAGGTTGAAGTAAGGAGACCTACAAGTTCAAGCCCAACCTGGGCCATTTAGTAATTTAGTGAGACTCTGTCTGAAAATAAAAAATAAAAAGGCCTGTAGATATGACTTAGTGTGAAGCCTCTTGTACTGAAAATAAAAATTGAAAGCTATGTCTACCTCAGGCCTGCTCTACACTAAACAGAAAGAATACATTCTGCTTATTTTTTTAAATTTTATTTCATTGAGAAACAAATATTAATGAGACAGTTTCAAAACTGATTAATTGGACAGTTTCAATAATTAACACATTATACATTTTTATCTTCTTAGCGGTTATCCATAGTACAAGATGCAGACAGAATATCCTGTCCAAACACTATTAGTACAAATCTTTCTTCTCATTTGTGTGTGTGTGTGTGTGTGTGTGTGTGTGTGTGTGGCCAGCTCAGCCCACCAGGGGGCAGGCGGTCTAGCATGTGGTGCTGGGGATTGAACCGAGGTCCCTGTGCCTTGCTTGGCTTAGCTTGTTCTAAGTAGGTGCCTTAGACCACTGAGCCATCTCACCAGCCCCTTTCTTCTCATTGAATTAAGTGAAAGTAGCTGTATATCTATCCTAACTATTCTGCGTATACAGATACAAAATGTTGGGGTTTTTTTTTTGGTTTGTTTGTTTGTTTGTTTTAGCAGAACTGGCGATTGAACTCAGGCCCTTGCACTTGCCAGGCAAGCACTTATTCTATTGAGCCATCTCTCCGGCCCCTACATTCTTCTTATGTTTTTGTTTTTGTTTTTGTTTTTGTTTTTGTTTTTGTTTTGGAGGAACTGGGGATTGAACTCAGGCCCTTGCTCTTGCCAGAGAAACGCTTATTCCACTGAGCCATCTCCCTGGCCCCTTTTTTGTTTTTGTTTTTGTTTTTTTTTTTGGCGGTCCTACATTCTTCTTAGATAGTTATACCTGATAAGAAGTCAGTGTCAAGAATGTTTGTTTATTTTTGAGACAGAGTCTCTCTAGGTAACTCAGGCCTGGCCTTAAACTTATAGCAACCCTCCTGTCTCAGCCTCCCGAGTGCTGGTATTATAGGTGTGCAGCACTATGCCTGGGAAGAATGTTTAATTTTTGAAGCAATATCATTTTATTCTTTTTTCCTGCCAAACACTTAAATAAAGGCCACAAGCATCACCAAGAACATTGGCGATGCTATGTTGAACCACGGAGTTCCTGCCCTGGTCACCAAAGGGGATAAAGACAGAGAAAAATGGTTGCAGTCTCAGGGGAACAAGTGGTTTTTATTTTATTTTATGTATTTATTTTTAGGAGTCTTCATTTTTAAAAACAGAAGTTAAGATTATATTGATCTTTTGCTGTATGCAGAAATGTTCTAAGTGCCTTATGAACATATATTGACTGATTTAATATAAATACTATTAACTCATTTAAGAGCCTGGGGGGCTGAGTGTGGTGGCACACATCTGTAATTCCAGCACTCAGGAGGCTGAGGCAGGAGGATCAACATGAGTTCAAGACTAGCCTGAACTACTTAGTAAGACTGTGTATCAGAAAAAAAGAAAAAAGGGCCAGGGAGATGACTCAGTGGAATAAACGCTTCCCTCGCAAGTTCAAGGGCCTGAGTTCAATCTCCGGTTCTGTCAAAAAAAAAAAAAAAAAAAAAAAAAAAAGAAAGAAAGAAAGAAAGAAAAAAGAAGCATGAATGCATATTATTATGAGGAAAAGGAAACATGAAGCGGTTAAGTAACTTCCCCAAAATGAAATTTAGTGAGCAGCAAAGCTGATAGCTCTTAACTCCAAGATACACCATATACAGTGGTTTCCAAAGTGAAAATCTGGGATCAAACCTGGACAGGAGGGGCTGGGGATTGAGCTCAGTGGAGCAGCACCTTCCTGGCAAGGATGAAGTCCTGAGATCGATTCCTGGGACCAAAAACAATACAAAGGATGACACTGTACATGTTCTAGCAATTGAGCATTATTATTATTATTATTATTACTTAAATTTTATTTATTTTTTTGCAGAACCAGGGATTGAACTCAGGCCCTTGTGCTTTACCAGGCAAGTGCTTATTCTACTGAGCTATCTCCACAGCTCAACTAAGCATTATTAAAAACAAAAGAAAATAAAAATTTGTGCAAGAATCTGAACTGGGAGGAGAGACAGAAACAGATGGAAGGATGCATGCTCTGGGGATCCATGTCTGAGACACGCAGACATTTGTGGTAGCACTTTCAGGCAAGGACCACCCAGAACAGCCTGTAGCTCAGTGAGTGCGGCAGGGCTCCTCACAGCCAGAGGGAGAGAAAATAGAGGAGATGCACTCCTTGGGGAGCTAGATGCATCTTGCAGCCTGGGTTACAACCTAGGTGTTTGGACTTCGGCAGAGATTAGGGGAGGACCCGAGGAAGCAGGGGCTTGCTGTAGGTTGGGTGCTGTTCTTGCTGCAGGTTGGGAGCAGGGGTGATTCTGTTTGGGTTTCCAGCAAATCTTATCCACATGGAAGTAGACAGAGCAAGGCTGAAGCTGTGATTGGTAAAGCAGTTGTAATCACTCCTATTGGCTCAGAAAAAGGGCCATTTGGTATTTTGTGGATGGCAATGACCTTTTTTGTGTCTGTCTTAGTCAGAATTATGTAGTGAACTTGCTTTATCTCCCTGTGTTGTGGTTTCCGAGTGACCTTGTCTGAAAGCCAATGATCTATGAGCTGTCCAGCTGGAGAACAACATGGCCTAGCTGTAAGCACCAAGCCTGCTTCAAGCAATGTTGAGGACCAGTTGTGTCAGACCAGTTCTCAGATGCTGAGGGCCACTTTTTATTTCTCCTTATAACTCCACAAAGACAGTCAGAGCATCATTTATAAGTTACAGAACTAGAGCATTCTTCAAAGCAGTCACTCTGATATTACGGAAAATTTGAGAATCTGAAGTTAGAAGGTTGTGTGGACTATTAGTCAGCTTTCTGTTACTGTAATGAAATCCCTGAGGAAATCAGCTTATAAAGAAAAGAGGGTTGTTTTGGCTCACAGTTCTGTAGGTTCTGGGCCAAGCTTGAGCTGTTCCTGAGTGTGATACAAGCACATGGTAGAACAGCCTGCTTACCTGATGAACCTTCAGAGAGGAAGAGAGTGGGCCGCACAGTGTCTTTTAAGGCACATCCTCAGTGACCTGTGGACTTCCCATAATCACTACCCATCATGTCACCCTGGACACTAAGCCTCTGACATGCAGACTTCTGGAGGATACTCACCCAAGCCTTAGCCAAGAACTTTGCTTCTGAATGGATAACTAAAGAATACTTGAAAAACAAAGCCCAAACAAATCAAGGCAAAACAACAAAAGAGAGTACCTGAGATTGTGGATATTAAACTAGATCATATCTGTCTGGCTTTGAGCTATATTTCATGCCCTGATTTCTTTATCTGGATAAAGTGATATGTGATAGTCAGAACTAACTAGATGCACACCTAGATCCACACCCACAGTGGCTGCAGCATGAGATCTCTTCTGTAAGCACTTTCTGTATATGAACTTACTTAATCTTTACAACAATCTAATGATGTGGGTACTATTGGTATCTTTATTTATAAATAAGAAAACTGAGCACAGGAAGTTTAATGACACACAAGGCTGGATTTGTAAATGTCAGAAGAAGCATACGGCATATCTTAGTTGGCTTGGGCTGCCACAACCAAATACCATAGACAGGGGCCTTTAATCAATAGAAATTTATTTTCTCACAGTTCTAGAGCCAAGATCGGACTCCAGCAAGGCTGCATTCTGGCGAGGACCATCTTCCTACCCCAAACACCTCTTTTTAGCTCAGTTCCCACATGGTGAGGCAGTGAGGTGGGGTGTAGACCTTCTCTTGCTGTACGACCACAGTTATATTCACTCAGGGTCCTCGCTTATCACCTCACTTAGCCTCAGTAATGTCCTACAGGCCTGATCTTCTGGTCCTGTCACATTGGAGGTAAAGGGCTTCAGCCTGTGGATTTTGGGAGGCTGGGCAAGAAATTCTTTCCATAGCACAGTGAGATCAGAGGATCTACTAATGGGAAAAAGCAAGATTTTAGGTCAAGTTAAGAAATAATGGGTGGGGCTGGTGAGATGGCTCAGTGGTCTAAGGCACCTACTTAGAACAAGCTTAGCAAAGCACAGGGACCCCGGGTTCAATCCCCCAGCACCACATGCCAGCCAGCCCCGCCCCCTGGTGGGCTGAGCTGGCCACACACACACACATAAATAAATAAATAAATAAGTAAGTAAAAAAAAAAAAAAAAGAAATAATGGGGCTGGGAGACAGCTCAGTGGCCTAAGCACCTGCCTGGCATGCATAAGATCCCAAGTTCGGTCTCCAGTACTGCAAAACAAAACAAAAGGGCCCAGGGAGATAGCTCAGTAGAATAAGTGCTTGAAAAAACAAAACAATGATCAATAAGCCACAGTAGGTGGGCTCAGTATATATTACTAGAAGCTATGAAGGAGCAAGTGAGACAGGAGAAGTATTCAAATTTCTGATCATAATTATCACTTTTAAGAAACTGGCAGTTATATAACTTATAATGATATTTCAATAGGTATCTATACATGTTATAAATAATGCATATAGATTATATATATATATATATATATATTTTTTTTTTTTTTTTGAGACATGGTTTCACTCTATAATTCAGGTTGGTCTTTAACTCATTATGTAGCCTACGCTAATGTCAAACTGACAGCAATCCTTCAAGTGTGCACCACTTTGTCCTACAAACTATATAGTTTTTAAAAGAAAAAGTATTTTGACCTGGCATAGTGGCACACAGTTGTAATCCCAGCACTTGGTAGGCTGAGGCAGAAAGATGGTAGAGAATTCCAGACCAGCTACATAGCAAGTTCAAGGCCAGCCTGAATTAAATGGTGAGACCCTGTCTAAAAAAAAAAAAAAAAGAAAGAAAGAAAGAAAAAAAGTGTTTACACAAATACCTAGTCCTTACAAGGTAAGTGTGTGGTCATTGTAATAGAATGGACACAATGTCCATCATGACATCCCCTCAGTTCAGTTACCGTGTGACTAGGAACAGAAAATTAGTAATAGGCCACAACAGATCCATTCATGTCACAAATCAACTCGTGATTACTTGTCACCAAATAACTCTCGAAGTGACTGTCATATGGGAGAAGCTGCATGTTTTGTTTTGCCGTAGGCTGAGGACCACCCTGCTGCGCCGGAGACCGACTGCCCCTGGCGGGGCCCTGCGGGCCGAGGCTGCAGCGGCTGCGCGGAGATTCGAGCCCAGGCGGCGGCGGGCGCGCAAGGCGGCGGGGCGGCGGCTCCCCGAGCACAGGTTGCCAGCCGTGGCCCAGCGCGTCCGTCCCTCTGCTCCAGGCCGCGCTCAGCCTCGGGTCCCGGAGAGACACAGACAGCTCCACAGCGCGGGTGCGAGGGCGCCGGAGACACCTGCTGAGGGTGAGACGGGGCCGGCTTGCAGGCAGCACTGGCGCGGCCCGGGCGTGGGATCCAAGTTTCCTTTTCTGCTTCGTTCCGCCCACTGCCCGACTTTGTTCTTTTGTTCTCTCTCCTGTCTACCACACTCAGTCACGTTCTCTTCGCTGGGATGCCAGGTGCAAAATTCTCAATTCAGGAACGGGGGCGTAGTACAGTTATAGAGCGCTGACCTAGCATGCACGAGGCCCTGGGTTACACACTCACACGCACACACACTCACCCCTAGCACAGTTCTCCACGGATCTCTGCTGAGGGCTAATCCAACAGAAAAGCAGAATTGGTGAGAAGACCTTGTGGTCCTGCTCACCCGAGGGAGAGAGAGGTGGCCTCTTGAAAGAGGGGTGCGCTCCAAAGTTCTTCTCCCAGGGAGGCACGTGCACGCGTGGCAAGCTGCTTTCTTTCATGGGTTCACCTGCTCCAAGGCCCACTGCTGAGGTCCAGGCCTGGTCACCGTCTCTCCTCTGTGTGCCAAGTGGTGGGGTCTGAGGCCCGATTTATCTGCTGTGAAAACCTAACTGAATCTCCAGAGAAAAGGCATCCCATTGCCATGGGCCTAAATCAAGGATGAGAGTCTAGGCATTTTATTAAAATACTTTTATTTTGTTAACAAGTACTCATTCTAGCATGGTTCTCTACGTTCAAGTCCCCTAATCCTGACCACCAAACATTTGTGAAAACAGCTGACAGCAGAAAAACAGAATGAGGGGCCGGGGAGATGGCTCAGTGGAATAAGTGTTTCCCTGGCAAGCACAAGGGCCTGAGTTCAATCCCCAGTTCCGCAAAAATAAATAAATAAATTAATTAAATAAAAACAGAATGAGTCCAAATTTCAGTTCCACCTAATAGTTGTGCATTATCGAGCCCTCGCTGCACCAGGCTGGAGATTAAGGTTCCTGAAGTTAGCCGCAGCCCTTGCTGTGGACACACTTGCACTTTTCTCCTTTCTCTTTGTGCTCAGAGATTTGAGGCTGTGGTCCTGCTGACTCATGGACTCTTAGTTGCCATTCCCAACAGTAAGGAGATCCACTCCTCTGGGGCTAGAGTGACCCTGAGGTTTCCTAGGGCCCACGGCTCCCTGCGTCCAGCTTCGGCGTCTGGTGTTCTGGAGGATGCTGTTCCCACACTGTACATCTTCTGCCTAAATTTTCAGGGCCAAGCGATAGGCCGAGCTACACAGCCCCTCCCAGATTCAAGGAGCACATGACACACAAAAACTCGAGGGATGAAACAGCCTGCGAGCCCAGCGAACTGTGAGTTCTTTCACTTGTCCCAAGTTGCTACCCCTACAGCTTTTAGCTAGAAACACATCATACAGGGGATAAGTGAGTGCTGGTGATTTCCAGCACAATTGGAGAAAGTGAAAGTCTGCCACATTTCAGCTTCAGTGCAGAATGGAAAACAACATCCTTCTGGCCTCTGAGGAAAGGGAAATAAAAGTCCTTTCCTCAACTGCCAGAACTGCCCTTCCCCAGGAGGAGGGGTGGAAGGGAGGGTAGAGGAATGGCAAAAAGAAGGAATCAAGTTACATCATGTATGGGTGCAACTTCTCTTTGATGAATGTGAGCATTATATGTATCTAAAATGTACCAAGCAAATCTGACTTAAAAGAAAAGAATTCCGCTTGTCCTTTGTATTTCTATCTCCTAGACCATAATTCATTTCTATATCCATTTGTCATTTGAACACTGTTTTGTAAGATTATTCTCTACAATGTAGAGAATACTGACTCCACTAGCTTTTTTTTATTTTTCAAATTTTTTTTTTAAATTTTATTTATGTGTGTGTGCGTGTGTGTGGCCAGCTCAGCCCACCAGGGGGCGGGGCTGGCTGGCATGTGGTGCTGGGGGATTGAACCGCGGTCCCTGATGCTTCGCTGAGCTTGTTCTAAAGTAGGTGCTTTAGACCCCTGAGCCATCTCACCAGCCCATCGTTGTTTTGTTTGTTTGTTTGTTTGTTTGTTTTGTACAACCGGGGATTGAACTCAGGCCTTTGCACTTGCCAGGGAAGTGCTTATTCCACTGAGCCATCCCCCCGGCCCCTCCACTAGCTTATAAATGTGGCGGTCCAACTCCATGCCCCTATGAGCAGTTTCTAGTTCTTTTTGTGTTTTATGTTTATAATTGAAGCGTGCTTTCTTTCAGTAAAGTTCTAATTATGGCTAAACCCCTTGGTCTGTGTTGTGCCTGATAGGACCCGCATTATGGCCAACAACACTGTGCAAGTGGAAGAACCACTAGCATCGCCTGAGAAAATGTGGTCCAAAGATGACAGTTTTGAACAGAAAAGCTCACTGGAGCATGCTCAGAAAGCTGCAGAGCTTCGGTAAGAGCATGGCAGTCCAAGTCGCAAACCATAATGAACTGAAAACAAGAAAAGATTCTTGCCAGGCTTTGTGGTGTCTGTAATCCCAGCATTCAAGATGGTGAGGAGGACGGATGGAGAGTTGAAGGCCAGGCTGGGCTACAAGGCAAGGCCCTGCCTTGGATGGGAGGGAGACAAGAGAAAAACAGAGAAAGGAGAGTGAGAGGAAGGACGACGGGGAGAGGGAGGAAGAGAGGGAGAGACGGAGAGACAGAGGGACAGAAGCAGAGGGACACAGGGGCAGAGACAGAGACAGTGACAGAAAGACTGAGATTGAGTGTATTTGTGCCTTTCCTCCATTTTAGAGGAAAAGAGAATGTTAAGGACTAAATTTAATCTAAGAAGTAGAACTGGAATCCTTAGTAAGTTAAGAAATAGATTAACTGGATAATGGATTTGCGGTCTTACTTTATATAGAGAAAATTATCTCATCCTCATCACCAGGTAGGTGAATGCCCTCTTTGTGCATTGGTCCTTGGAGGAATTTTTTTAAATAGAGTTTAATTTTTAGTGTAGTTTCAGTTTCACAGCAAAACGGAGCAGGAAATTGGGTTCCCAACAGCCCTGTCTCCCCTCACATCCTGCCCTCCACTAGGCAGATGTAACAGCGAAACCTACCCTGCCCCTCGATATGACTTAGCGGCCACGGTTTGTATCAGGAATGACTCTGGTATGAGTCAGGACAAATGTAATTCACCACTACAGGAACATATAGAGTGTGTTTATTACCCTGAAAATCCTTTGTTTCAGCTATTCATGTTTCCTTCTTTTAACCCCTGATAACCATTTGTCTTGTTGCTGTCTCCATGTTTTGCCATTTTCCAAAACACGGTTGGAACTGTAGGTAGGTAGCCTTGAAGGTCTTCTTTCATTTAGTGATATGCCTTTAAGATTCCTACAGGCAGGACCAGGGATGCAGCTCAGCAGCACAAGCGGTGCCTGGCAAGTATAAGGACCTGGCAATGCCCGGGACCCCCATGACCCCCAAAAGGATTCCTACAGGTCCTTCCACAACTTGCTAGCTTTTCTGAAGGTGCTTAATATTCTGCTGTCTGCATATATTACAGCTTATTTATTCATTCACTTGTTGAAGGCTTTCCTGGTTGCTTCCAAGTTTGGACAACTGGAAGTAAAACTACTACAACATTGGGGCTGGGGAGACGGCTCAGCGGTCTAAAGCACCTACTTAGAACAAGCTCAGCAAAGCACAGGGACCGCGGTTCAATCCCCAGCACCACATGCCCGCCAGCCCCGCCCTCTGGTGGGCTGAGCAGGACACACACACACACACACAAATAAATAAATTAAAAAAAAACAAAAAACTACTACAACATTGTACATAGGCTTTTGTGTATACATAAGCTTTTTTTTCTTTCTTTGACATTCATCTAAATTTTACTTTATTTTTTAACTACTTTTTATAGTCTTTTTTTTTTAAATTTATTTTCCCCCCAATTTTATTGAGAGACAGTTTCAAATCAAATTGGTATGACAGTTTCAACAATTAACACATTGCAGGGCTGGTGAGATGGCTCAGTGGTCTAAAGTTCAATCCCCCAGCACCACATGCCAGCCAGCCCCGCCCTCTGGTGGGCTGAGCTGGCCACACACACACACAAATAAAAAAAAAAATTAACACATTGCATACTGTCTTCCTAGTGGTGATTTACTGTATAAGATATACATAAGCTTTTTTTTTTTTTTTTTTTTTTTTTTTTGGTGGAACTGGGGATTGAACTCAGGCCCTTGCCCTTGCCAGGGAAGCACTTATTCCACTGAGCCATCTCCCCAGCCCCTGAGATATACATAAGCTTTGAACCTTTTAAAACCACAGACCCAGGCCACAGAGATAGCTTGGCAGTCTAAGCTCCTGCCTAAGTAGGAGCAGGAAAGAGGGTTTGATGCCTGGCCCCAGAGGTAGCACTGGTCCCACCCCTGGGCATGCTGAGTGGGCCACTGAGACAGGACATGGTAGCAAACGCCTGTAATCCCAGCACTGGGGAGGCTGAATCACAGGAGGATTACTATGGATCCATGCTGTGTAGTGAGACCCTCTACCAAATATATTTAAATAATAATAGTAATAATGATGAAAACATGATCTCTTAGGTTCAGAAAGAATACTTTTTCTTTGTGTCTATACTCAAATCTCCTTGCTGCCTTTTTTTTTTTTTTTTTTTTTTTTGAACTGGGGATTTAACTTTGTGGGTTTGCATCATTTATAAGAAACT